GCCAGAGGTCTCTCCTGAGCTCCCGGGGCTGTTTCAGGGAGCCACAACAGAGGTGCCCATGCTGCAGGACCAGCCCTTCCCCGGGTCTGGGGCGGGGGGGGGCACTGTTTTTGTGTGGGTGGCCGGGGAAGGTTTGCAGTTCGGCAGAGAGGGGGGATCAGATCCCGGTGGGGGCCGAGGGGATGGATGGGATCTTCAACAGAGCAATAAAACACTCACTGCGCAGCTGCATCAGCCAGTACCCACACATCCACATCATCCACATCCACATCCAAATCCACATCCATATCCATATCCACATCATCCACATCCACATCATCCACCTCCACCTCCATATCCATATCCATATCCCTGCCCACATCCACCTCCATATCCACATCCACCTCCACATCTGCATCCCTATCCATATCCACATCCACATCCACCTCCACCTCCACATCCACCTCCATATCTACATCCACCTCCACATCCATATCCATATCCACATCCACCTCCACATCCACATCCACATCATCCACATCCATATCCACATCCACATCCTTGTCCACATCCACCTCCATATCCACATCCACCTCCATATCCACATCTGCATCCATATCCACATCCCTGTCCACATCCATATCCACCTCCACATCCACATCCACATCATCCACATCCACATCATCTACATCCCTATCCACATCCTCCACATCCACGTCCATATCCAAATCCATATCCATATCCACATCCACATCCATATCCACATCCACATCATCCACATCCACATCCATATCCATATCCACATCCATATCCACATCCTCCACATCCACGTCCATATCCAAATCCATATCCATATCCACATCCACCTCCACATCAATATCCACATCCACATCCATATCAACATCCCTGTCCACATCCACCTCCACATCCACCTCCCTATCCACATCCACATCCCTGTCCACATCCACCTCCATATCCACATCCATATCCAAATCCACATTCATATCCACATCCACATCATCCACATCCATATCCAAATCCATATCCATATCCACATCCACATCATCCACATCCACATCATCCACATCCTTGTCCACATCCACCTCCATATTCACATCCACCTCCACATCCACATCCATATCCACCTCCATATCCATATCCATATCCACAATCACATCCACATCCACATCCACCTCCAGATCCACCTCCATATCCATATCCACATCCACATCCACATCCACATGTATCCATCCATCTGTACAGATAGTTTTGCCTCGCATCCCCAATCACTTCTTGAGCAGGAAGCCTGGGGAGGAGCA